ATTAATAAATAACATTGTAAAAAAAAAAATTCAAAATTTTAACACCTAATTAAATAAAAAGAAAAAGAAAATAAATCGATGGAAAAAGAAAAGAAAATAAGCAAAGGAAAAAAAAGGCATGTGTAGTACATTAGTTAGGGAATTAAAATTTTTATTTGAAAATTTTAGAAACTAAAATGAAGCAATTGAAAAGTTTAAGAAAAATAATAAAAAAAAAGAACCTAAATTGATAAATAAAAAAAAATCCATATATAGTGAAAAAACTTGGAAAAAAAAAACTACAAGAATGAATAGTGATTTATGAGGGACTCGAATAGTAAAATAAAAAAACATATCATATAAATGTAAAAAATATTGTATATATTATAGAATCGTCAATTTGTGTAGAAAAAAAAGTAAAGATTGATTTTTTTAAAATTTAACACCAAATTATATATATATTTGAAAAAAGAATTTAAATTGATGAAAAAAGTAAAGGAAAAAAAACGCATGTGCAATGCATCAATTAGGGAATTAAAATTTTATCCATATATAGTAAAACAACTTGGAAAAAAAACTACAAGAATGAATAGTGATTTATGAGGGACTCGAATAGTAAAATAAAAAAACATATCATATAAATGTAACAAATATTGTATATATTATATAATCGTCAGTTTGTGTGAAAAAGAATAAAGATTGATTTTTTTTTTAAATTTAACACCAAATTATATTTAAAAAAATAATATAAATTGATGAAAAAAGTAAAGGAAAAAAAAAGAAAAAGAAAATGCATGTATAGTGAAACAAAAAAAAAAAAAAAAAAACCTTAGCTACATGAATGAATAGTGATTTTGTGAGGGGGTGAACAATGATTTTTATTATTCAAACACCCATCCTCTTTTAGTTATATAGTAATTTTTTTGGGGAGCAATTCTTTTCAACCTAACCAAGTGATTCTTCCTTTAGGTTGTCTGTTGTTTTGTCTTTAGGTCAATTACTGCATGTCACAAGCACCCAAATCCAGCGGCAACTATTGCAACTCACATTAGCCCAAATCCATAATTGTTAAGTGTTTTGGGCTCTCAGTCTGGGTCTTCCACTCACCCATTAACTAATATGGTTTCACAAATTTTTTTTCGTAAGCCAAATAATGAATATTGACATTAGAGCCACAAATCATATAGTTTGAAACTCTAATTCTTCTTCCTCTAGTTCAAATCCCTAATGGAAATTATATTTTGGTTAAAGCTTTAGGTTGAGTAAAATATAAGTGAAGCTTTGGGTTCAGTACAAGTTAAGTCTTGACTAAGTCTTGGAGGCTCCTAATTTTTACCTTAATTTACTTTCAGTCAGTACATTAACACATGACATAAATTGTGTTTTAATGTTTAGATTTGATTTTTGTGTGATACAGGACTTATCATCAAGGAAGTTGATTGAAGTGGATAGAGTGCAAAATTGTTTGTATCTTTTGGGAACCAATAAAAGCAAAGAAGATACTCATGGCAAAGTGATGCAATGTATCAGATTTATGGCGTTGTCGTTTAAAACACACACCAATAAACTAGGTTTGTTAGTTCCAAACTTATCGATAATGATTGATTCATCAAAGACCTTCTTTTGTGATGCTTGTTATAGAACTAAGCAGACTACGTTTTCTTTTCCAATTTGTATGAATAAATCTTAAAATAATTTTTATTTAGTACATTATAATATTTGGGATTTATATCGCTCTCTATCTTATTTTGAATCACATTACTTCCTCATTATTATTGACGACCATAGTCGTAATACATAGGTCTTCCTCATAAAATAGAAATAAAAAACAAAACATTATCTCTTATTCTTTTTCAATTGGGTCCGAGCACAATTTAGTGCGAGGATCAAAATTTTCTGTACTAATAATAGTCTTGAATTCAATCACTTGAACTTGATGGATTATTATTTTGAACATAGAATGGACATGTACACAAATTGTACAGATATTCACTAATAGAATAGCATGATAGAACGTAAGCATCAACATCTTTTAGAGGTTACTCGAGCCTTATGTTTTCGGGAAAATCGTTAGTTAGTTTTTCGGATGAAAATATTTTGACTATAGCATATTTGATTAATCGCATGTCGCTTTCGGTTCTCCAAAACAAGACCTCTTTATGAAATATTATGTGGCCAACTACCTAATTTTGATCACCTATGGAGTTTTGGATGTCTTTATTATGGACATATACATAATAAATCATGTGATAAGTTTGCTTCTAAAAAAAAAACTAAGGATCTTTATAAGTTATCCATATAGACAAAAAGGCTATCGAATTTTTGATAGGGAAAACCACGTGATTTATTCTTCCTATGTTGTTCAATTTTTTGAGGATATTTTCCCTTTGCTAATTCATATGATAATCTTATAGATTTAGACACTAAAATTACAAATTTTGGGCTGTCAGATCATACTAGTCCATTTGATGTTGTTTGGCCTAATGACAATCAAAATGATCCAGCATCCACTAATATTGTGGGGGTTACCTGCATGTGTGATTTATTATTTTTTTGATTTTTAATTTTTGAAGGATATTTTTCTCTTTTCCAATTCATTTCATAATCTTATAGATTTATACAATACAAATATTTGGTTGTCAGATCAAACTAGTCCATTTGATGATGTTAGGCCTAATGACAATCAAATTGATCTAGCATATACTAATATTGTGTGGGTTGAAAGGATTCCTACACAAGCTCGTGAAAATACATTGATCTAGCTCCCCACTTCTGTATGTATTAGGTCATCCACTACAATGCGGTTTGTAATTGATACTAGGCCCTATTCCACATCACGACTTGCAACGGATAGTGACATAAGCTTTGCCACCTTCACTCCTACCTTCGTCGAGTCCACACTCTCCTCTTTGTTTGGCTAACTCAACAGTACGTACGTCCTTTATTTTATGATATTTCTTATTGTGAATTTTCTAACATTCATAATGCCTTTCTTGCGACCATCTCTTCTATCAATGAGCATACATTATTTTCTGTAGTATTGAAGCATGAACAATGACGTGATGCCATGGCCAAAGAAATATTTGCTTTAGAAGTCAATCACACATGGACACTTGTACCCTTACCACCTGGAAACGAGCCATTGATTCCAAATGGATCTACAAAATTGAATTTCACCTCAATGGCTTTGTAGAATGACAATAAGCTCATCTTGTGACTAAAAGATATACTCACATTCAAGGCATTGATTTTCATGAGAAATTTTCCTTCGTAGTCAAATTGGTCATTATCTGTTCTCTTCTTGCCATTATCTCAGTATGTAAAAGGGAATTTCACCAACTAGATGTCAATAAAGCATTTTTGTATGATGATCTTTCGAAGAAGTCTACATGAAAATTCTTTAGGATTTTGCTAAGAAGGGTGAGCACTACGTTTGTTGTCTTTAGAAATCTTTTTAAAGGCTTCGTCAAGCTTTTCATAATAGGTATAAAAAAATGTACCCAAGTCATTGCTTGCAGTGGGTTCAATCATCTTTCCTTTACTCTTTGTTTACTTCTTCTTAGCAAGGTTCTTTTATTATTGTTATTATTTATATTAATGATGTGATTATCAAGAGTAATGATGCTACTAAAATTTCTTAGTTCAAATAGTATTTGAATACCACATTTCACATTAAGTACGTTGGTAAACTCAAATATTTTTTGAGTCTCGAAGTTGCGCACTCACCGATTAGTGCTTTATTGCCTACTCTCTAATTTAGAAGTTTCTCATTCTGATCATGTTTCTTTGTTTTGTGACAATCAAGCAGTGCTACATATAGCCGTTAATCCTATCTTTCATAAGTAGACTAAGCATATTGAGATCGACTATTATTTTTATCGACAACATATTTGATCCAAGCTTTTATCACCACGATCGATTTCTTATATATATATTTCTTCTAAATATCAATTGGCAAATATTTTCATCAAAACTTTTGGTAGACATCAATGTCTCTAGTTGTTGGATAAGTTATGCATTTACAATATACAAGCCCCAACTTAAGGAGTAAAGAAGATTATTTTAGTTAAAAAAATATTATCTTAGAATTTATTTTTTTTAATGCTTAGAATGTTTTTTTAATGCTTTCTTATATACATATATATATATATATATACACACACACACTTAGGGATCTTGATTGATATGATTTGTATATATCCATCTTGTTTATTTAAGAAAATATACAGTAAAAGTCATTCACGTTTTCATAAGACGAGTAAAACATCTATTGAAGCAAAAAGAGCCAGAAAAATAAAAAAAAAAAACCAACCTTAAATTCAGGAAAATACTATATAAGCTGAACAGGTACCAATATACATAAAAAGGAAATTTTGGGAGGAGGTTTTGATAAATAAGGGTAGTACCATGTATCTATTTTGCACCTCTACTTGTCCATCAATAAAATTTGATAAATTGTACTCTCTTTTTTTTTTAATTATTATTTACACAAACATAAGAACGTGATGCAACCAGGAATTTAAGATTGGTCTAGAACTGAAAAATTAGGATCGAGGGAGACAAAAAGAAAATAAATGATTTTTTTTTTTATACAAAACCCGTATTTTCTATGAAATAAACTTTAAATTGAAAGGCATAATTAAAATATTAAAATATAAAATTTCCAAAATTTGGGGTGCCGTAGCCAAATCACTCTACTTAATTATGCCCTCGAGACCCATAATAAAAATTATTCACTAATAATAAGCACATGCAAAAGCAAAAGGTATCCTTTTTCTTTTTGGGACAATCAAACAATTTCATAGAAATTTCTCACATAATATGTTTTACAAAATTGCTAAGCATTTCAATAGAGAAAATAAATGCAACAATATGATATATTAATTGGCTTTGTGTTCCCTTGTTTGCCTATCAGAATTAGGGATAACATCAGTCTAGTATTTTTCCTTTCTGACATGTTTACATAACCATAATTGGGTAAACTACAAGTATTTGCTTAAAATTAAACCTTTTTTTACGTATCATAGATCGCTATTGTAATCATCATCATCATCATGGGACGTCGGAGAATAAAACTGTGAAGCCAAATCCTTAAAAATTTGAACCAAACCTTTCAAGTCACTGCTCCCCAATTCAAGACAGTCCCTTAACAAATCACCCTCCACTACCTCTTGTTGAACGGTCTCCACCACTTCCTTCAATGGCCCCTGCCCCCACACCCCCCACCAAAAAAAAATTAAATACATTAATATTTAGTACTATAAATAAATAAAAGTGAAAAAAAAACATAAATTACGTCATAATGTTACTACTATTACCGATTGATGAAACATTTCGACAAGCCTACGTAACACCGACTGAGCAACTCTGAGGACATTTCTGTAATTTCTTGCAACCCAAGTGGCTCTCTCAACTTCCGATCTCGACCGAGACAACTCACCCAGACAGCTTAGCAACTCATTCATCTCCGAAACAGCACCGTACAATTCCCTATAATCAAAATCTCTCCAGGCGTAGTTTTTAGCGTAATCCCAACCAACAGACCAAGTCAATCCCCAGAACCCCAGACCCAACCCTCGCTCGAGCTTCTGTGCAATTAGCTTTGCCCGATTGGAACCGGCGATATCACCGCGGGAAAAGCGGAGATTGGAGACGCGGGTGAGGAGAGAATGGGAGAGAGAGAGGAGGGTCGTGTACTGAGAGTATGAACGGGAGAAGGAGAATGCGGTGGTTGCTGTGGTGGCTGTAAGGAGGAGAGAGAGGAGGAGGAGGGTGGTCGAGAGTGGTGGTTTAGTATTGGCCATGGGTTAATTTTGGGTTGAGAGGATGACTTTTTTCCTTAGAGGAACCGAGGATTGACCGAAATGAAACAGTAAAAGGAAAGGTTTCGATGTGAATGGGCTGGGCTTAAATTGTTGGGCTACCTTCTTATATACCTAGAAAAAGTTTATTGAAACAAAACTATCAGTGCGCTCTCTCTCTCTCTCTCTCTCTCTCTCTCTCTCTCTCTCTCTCTATATATATATATATATATATATATATAAAAGGTAAATGTGTTAACAATCTAATTCTCAAGTATTCATGATCACCTAAAAATAGAAAAAAATATTATTCTAAAATTATTATATTTCAGAAATATCAAGTGTGATTTAATGAAGTTTATAGGTGATTATGTTCAATTGACTAAATTTTATAAATATTATAAATTTAGTGACAATTTAATTAACAAAACATTGTTAAAATTGTAAAAATAAATGGATATTTTAGCAAATTTTTTTCCTAAGATATATGATGAGATCTAAAATGTCATACAATGCATGAATATCAGTCCAATTTTTCTAAAAAAATATGAACTAAATAATGATTTGTTGAGCAACAAACTTTTATACATACATATATAAAATTCAAATTCAAAATCTTTTAAATAATGAAAGGACATTAATAATAGTTGAACTATAATTTATTGGCATGTTAAGTTATGTTGTCTAGTTTTGTAACATATTTTTTTGTTTAGTCACTTTAACTAATATTATTTTATTTTTATTTTTTTTGACTCTCCAACTCTCCTCTCGGAAATATTATTATTATTATTTTAAGATTAACATGTGAAGAGTCTCTTTATTCTTTAGATTTTCTTAATTTAGCCCCTTTTAACTTTTTTTTTTTTTTATGGGTTAGTAGCCTCACATATTTTTACATATTGGTTTAAGTTTTCAATATTTCCTTATATCCTAAAACGATCATATTATGTTTATGTTATTTTGTTTAGTTTCGGTCTCTCTTTCTAGTCAATTTTTCAACCAAACCACTCGAAAATATCATGTGATTTGAACATGATTTTTTTTTTAATAAAAATGCCCCTCAAGTCTTTTTTTTTTTTTTTTTCCCTTCATCTTCCTCCTCCCTCCACCATAATTGTCACCTAACTAAGCGAGTTAATTGTGCTACTGCTATGAGTGGGAAAGGTGCCTTTCCGAATCCAAAAGAGTCCACTTAAGTTCATATAGAAATAACACTACAAATTGCAACCACCACATATTTTATGCCGAACAAAAATTCTTTTTTTCTTCTAGCCTTTATTTTGCAAAAACATACACAAAATTCATTCTTAAAATCAATATACTAATACTATAAAATCATGGATTTTTTCTCTATATAATATCAAGTTATAAAACTATTCAGAATTATAAACAACAAAGAAATTCAATGGCCACATAAATTTGGGAACCTTGATCAATGAAGGAGGAATAGAGACACAAAAAGCAACAATTCTAATAGGGTCGGACAATGCAAAAGTTTTTGACTTTCAATTCTCAATTGTATCATTCAATTCCTTATCTTCATTTCTTTCCATATTATCAACATTTTCCTCTACATCACCATCATTATTTGTTTATTCATCGTCTTCGTCAACAACAACAACAATTGATTTATTAAAAATGTTGTTTTATTAAAAATATAAACAAAACAAGCCCTTAAAATTAGTTAATCCCGCAATTTGTTGTTTAAGCGTAGAGATGTTGATTTCATTCACCTTCTTTTGAGATGGGTGATCATATCGAAAACCGAACTATTGGGAATTAGCAGCCATGTTAGCAATAAAAGATCTTGCTACTTTTGATTTTTATCTATCGAGTGCACCTCTACCGGTTGCATCTATCATGGTCCTATCTTGTGGGAGGAGTCGCTAAAAATAACTAGATCAAGAGCTACTCACTAGTCCGATGGTGAGAGTAACTAGCACATGGTTTCCTAAATCTCTCTTAATACTCATATAATTTCTCATTCGTATACCTGTCTAATTCCATGTATCGCCAACAAATTAGATAATATTTATTTTTCTTACAAAACTAACCATAAGAGTGTAGATAGGGCAAGCAAGGATCGAGCTTATAGAAAAGTGGCTTAATCAATGATTTTTATTGGATGATTGTTTTGTAGTGCAAAGTAAGTAAAATGGGAGTTTATGTTTGTTGTGATTTGTAAGCAATCAAAATTAAATAGAAAAACAAAATAATAAGGAAAGCCTTGGTTGAAGTGTAGTATTCACTTTTGGTTTAGTCGCCGACCATAGATTCAAATATTAACTTGGCCTTAATATGAATATTCACCGTAGGATAACAACATGTGTTTTATCCTCAATCTTTTCTTACTAATTTGTTAACCAAATAGACACTACTTAATTAATCCCTAATTATTGAGAAACCTAGTACACACTAACTAGATTTAATCCAATGACAGTATTAGATTAAGAAAAACAAGTGAAGCTAAACAACTCTTATAGACATTAGAAAGATATACTATAGTTCTATGCTTTTCAAGAGATTAAAACAAAAACACATTTATAATCATTAAACCTTAATTACTACCACATGTATGTTTAGATAAGTAATTACACGAAGTGAATATTTAGCTAGTAATAGATTATAATAATTAAGCAACTAGCATGCACTTTAATCATTTAATCACACAATCATAACCAAATAATACAAAAAAAAAACATTAAATACTCAAAAAGAATAAGTTTAGAATTAAAACCTCATTAAGATCTAACAATGACTTTACCAAAACCTTCAACTTTCCTTCAACCAAAATAGATGTTTAGTGACTCATGGTTGATTATAAGAGAATTTTCTATCACAAAATAGTTTCTAAAAGTGAGAATCCCAAAATAAAACCCTAGCCTCACAATTTATAGCCAAAAGTAGAGTTATAACATACACATATTAGTCCTACACGACTACACGAATTGTTTGGTAAAGGCACATGGTTTGCTCGTTTTATCTTACACGATTTGGAGCTTTAGAGAACTAGTGTTGCATGGTTTGTTGGATAGAGGCACACAATTGTGTGCCTTTTGCACTCCATCTCATGTACTTGGCTTCTACACGTGTGGAATTTTATCTTTATCTCATGTTTCTTCATTCTCGCACATGTGCCTTTATTGCTTCATTCTTCTTGCTTCGGTATATATAGGTGTGACGCTTCTTCAATCGCCCATGTGTTCCTTCTTTCCTATTGAAAGATACTTCAACCTTGACACATACATAAGCGTGTCTTCTTTCTTGCTCTTGCAGCGTAAAAGCTACCGCCCATATGGTCTTGTTGTTGAATAACCACATGGTTTCCTCCTTTATCGCACATAACCAGTAGCTATTTCTTATGATAAATCATAGGGTCATATGACTCTTTAAGCTTCCTTAATGACTTTGGCTTCTCTTTGCTTTTAGCTTAGGCTCTTTGCTTTAATTCCTCATTTTTTCACAAAACCTAAAATCATTATCTTGATCCTAATTTACTAAATATAATATAATAAGTATAAAAAATTTTAATGTAAAAGAGCAAAACAATCATGCAAATTATGCACTCATCATTTGGCAATAAAACCTCCAATTTACCTTTATGTTTTAAAAAAAGTAAAACAAACATTGTCGCCAAAAATACATTATAATGCATTATGAATTAACTTATAGCTCCGCATGTTTATATTTTTATAATCACTCATTCAAACTCGTATAAAAAAATACATTTGGCTAGTTAAATGCTTCATAATCTTCACAAAATACAATTTACGGATATTGTATCAAATGTGTCATAAGCAACATTATTAGTCAAACAAAAAATTTCATTTACAAAAATCATTGCAATGACATCTAAATCACTCGCTAACAAATTGTTCTAAGCTATGATCGAAACTCCCACACTCGTTGTTAATGTAAGTACCTAAGATTCAACTTTGTTTAGATGATTTGACTTATTGTAATATTGTATTTTATATTTTATTAATAAAAGAAAGTCTTTCTATTAATTATCTTTATTTATATTTTAATAAAATTATATAGAAGTTCATATGATATACATTGTATTAATAATTGATTGAAAGATATAAGTCAAATATTAATGTATTTAAATAATATCATTAAATATCCTAATCAAAACATTGTTAAGAATGGATATTGTCTACATATCGGTAAGACTTATGAGTGTTATACTCATAAAATAACATAGCGAGTAGGAGATCTTACACCTATTGACATTGCGATGCCAAAGTAAGAACTTAGGTGATTAATGTTAGAGAACATATCACCGGACTCAACTCGCCATGAGAACCCATTTGGTTTAGTGTGTAGCGCCTCGCGCCCGTACCTATTCATGATGGCATCCTAAGCAAAAGAGACGCTACAATCAAACATAACGTACATATAATACAACTCAAACAAAACCAAACATAACTCATTATCATGTTCTCAAAAAGAACTTAATCCAACAAACTTACATGACTTGCAGAGTGCAATAAGGCTTTCGGCCATGTTGCTTAAAAACATAAATTATACAAATGTTTGAACTTCGAATCATAAACATTAAACAATACTTTATCGCCTAATAAAAGGGAAAAAGTTAAGATATACAAAAGGCCCTTAAAGCCTCATATGTCTAACATTCAAACTAGATAAAAGGACACTCCACAAGAGTTCGTTCAAGGCACTCCGGTTGCATCATCAACATCCACGGACTCCTCACCTACACCACAAGACATAACAAAATGAGCTAACGCCTAGTAAGCATAGTCATGTATGACATTTCGTAGGCTTTCATGATGTGTATAAATATATTTTTCATTGATGCGAGTACCCCACTAAACGTCATGTCTAGTCCTCTTTGCCTTTACCAAAACTATGCCTTTACCAAAACCTTTGCCTTTACCAAAACCTTTACCTTTCATTCATATATGATTTCAATGCATTTTCCGAAGTATGTAAATCTTTGCTCATGATGTGAATGCATAGGGTAATATACTTTAAGG